TGGCTTCCGCCCCGGGCGCCGGCTCGGAAGCGAAGGAGCGAGCTGGGAGCCGGGGTTGCTGTGGCCCCGCAAAACCGTATCGATCCATCAACACTGTCACCGTAACCACCGCCACCGCCATCAGCCCAGCCACCAATCGCAGCATTTTCGTCGGGCTCTTCCGCATCCACTCCCAAGCGTGAATCAACGGTCCCGGTCTTCAACCGGCCACCGGCCACAGCCACCCACTTCCGCCCCCGGCTGCCGGCTCTGCGGGGTCCTACGCCACTCAGCTTGTATTAGCCCGCCCCTCTCGGGTTTCTATTGGAGGACGGAGAATCTCCCCGCGACGTTTCCCTGCCCCTTCCCCCTCCCCGTCCCGCAGCGGGATGGCAAGGATGGATGATCTGCTAGCACAGCTGGCTGGATTAAGATCGCCTGGGAATCCCAGGCTGATCCCAGCAAGAAATAGTTAATGGATTTAGGTGGTTCTCTTGCGAAAAGTTGTTCCTCACCTTTGGCGTGAGATTTTGACCAGAAAATGGCAATTGCCTGTTCACAGGGTGAACAGCAGCGGACTTGGATGCAGCCCTGGGGAGAACCTGTGCTCAAGAAAATGATATTGGAAGTATTTGTTCCAACTCGCCCATATTGGAACCTGTTGGTAAGAAAATCAAGAATCCAGTTGCACTAAGGAGTGTTTAAGCCTAAAAGGCCCAGTTTGTCTACTAGATGCTGGGGAATGATTGTGTTAAACGCCAAGCTGAAGTCGACAAACAACATTTCTTTCCTCTAAGAGCTTCAAGCTCAGATGGAGAACGGAAGAAATAGCATCCTCCGTAGAGCCAGACAGAAATATAGCTATGGGAAAGCTGACCACATGTTGCTGGGAGTGGTGGGCTTTTATAACTTCTTGGGCTTTGGAAGTTGTTTCCTGTTCCTGTTTGAGGCTTTGTATTTCCTGTGTCATGTAATTTCACCTGAATCTGAGTGTGCCCTGTACCTGTACTCCTGACAACTTATCCATCAGGCTCAATATAGATATTAAATAGCTTGGGAGAAAGCACCAAGCCTGAGATACTGAGCACTGGAAGGTTTAAAGTACTGTTTCCCCATAACTACATTAAAAATCCAAATAGGAAAGAGACCAACTGTAATACAGGTAGTCCTTGACTTATGACCACAACTGAGCCCAAAATTTCTATTGCTGAGTGCAACAGTTGTTAAGTGAGTTTTGCCTCATTTTACAACCTTTTCTTGCCACAGTNACAGTTTAGCTTGTTAATCAGCTCCTATCCCAAACTGACTTGAATAAAGTCCTTTAATTTTAAATTCTTTTTAAATACGCAGTTGCCAAAGTGGCAGAAAGTGGAGGAGGAACTGTTTCTGGTATTTCAAGTTTTTGGGGATTCCCTCTAATGCTTAGAACTTATGTAATAACCTTTCAGTGGCCCAGCTTGTTTTTTTTAAGGCAGTCCTACCAAATAAGTAACCAGCAGCTCAGCATATTCCCCAAAGAATTTAGGGTGTAATATATAAAAATGATGAAACAAAAAAAAATCTCACCTGTCACTAAAGTAAGAGCAGGTTGAATTATGGGAATTGTTTCCTTACAGAACTTCTCAAAATCAGAAGTTCTACTGGGACTCACAAACTTACTGATATGCAGATCTGTTACCTACAATAACAATAACAGGCTGACGTTAAAAAAAAAAAGAAATTAGACATCTAGTAACTCTTCACAAAAACAGTTGTGTACCAGAAAGATCTACAAAAAAAGTGTTAACTGAAAAAAATCTTGATTCCAAAACAATAATAGTTTAATTTCACAACTAGCCCTTTTAGATGACTCATAGTTTCCCATGCATACAATGAAACACACCTTTAAAATTCATGTAGTGTAAAGCAGAACAGATCAGCGGTTCATTTTATAGGGTTTTCCCCCGCCCTCCCCAAAAAGATACGAATGCACAGTATCACCAAACAGGATTCAACAGTATAATGAACTTTTGTATCCGACTACGGTTCGTGAACAACTGATTCAAGTTATCCTAATCCAGCAAGTTGGAAAAGTGACTGTTGATTGGAACTAATCATTTCCTCCTCTTTCATCACTCCTCAATAGTGTCTCCGATCAGTCTCTCCTTTTACCATTTTGTCCTCTACTCTTCTGAATCTGGGGGGAGAAGAAAACCAGTATCCTGAAACTCGAACGTAATTTTGGTGAACCACGTATGATTCTCTACCAAAAATGCAGCATCTTCTAACGGGTCTGAGCAATTGAAGAGAAACCAACGCCGGCAGCTTGCACGCCGTGCCGCCCGCAGCCACTTGCCTGAACCACCCAGAAAAGGTTGTTGGCTTCCGCCCCGGGCGCCGGCTCGGAAGCGAAGGAGCGAGCTGGGAGCCGGGGTTGCTGTGGCCCCGCAAAACCGTATCGATCCA